GTAAGTGTGGGCGTGAACAGGGTGAAAGGTTGTTTCGTCATCCTTTATGGTTTCTTTCTTTCTTTCTTTCTTTTCTTTCTTTTTTATTATCATATATGTCTCGCTTACGAGGAGGAGACTGGAGTGGTATTGGAGTTTCGTCTTAAGATGGCGGTTGCAGTATCATGTCGCGGGCGATTCATATATATATATATATATATATATATATATATATATATATATATATATATATATATATATATATATATATATATATATATATATATACACTTCAGGGAGGAAAGTGTTATTTTAGTGTCGCTTGAAGTACCCTTTCCAGTGTCATTTCAAATGTCATTTCGGTGTCATTCCGCGGACAATTTCAACCCCTGTACGAGAGACTCTCCCAAAGCCAACGCCGTTACAAATGTGAAATGATCATAATATTTCAAGAAAGGATTTATCCAAAAGACCAAAATCCTCATATATCATGTATTCGTTTCGGAGAGAGAGATCATCCATTCCTTAAAGGTGCAGGCGTGTCACTTTTATCAAAAATAAAAAGTAGGCTACTTTAATTTTCCCCTTTTCCCGGATAATTCGGCCCGCCTGCCAAAGCTTTGTTGAAAGACTGCAGTATATTACCTCCGTTTGATTATTGCCTCGTTTAATTATTTATCTCTTTATTCTTATCAGCCGAGACATCCTGCGGAAACTGTAAATCAAATGGCCTCTTCTTTAATATTCTATGCAATTATATATACTCCCAACAATTAATTTGTAATTATGAATAATGATTAAATCGCTAATTAATCCCGAACGCGGTTCATTTTTCCCTGTATCCGTTTCCCCATCTACATCTTTTTTTTTTTTCCTTGTCTTTTCTATTTTTTTCTTGGACGAAGCCTAAGCCGATGAGAGTTAACGAACATGTATACTATACGACTCTTCACGTTGTTCGGCAAGACAAATATACGACCTGGAATGTAGTATATTTTAATGTTAGATTTTTACGGTTCGAACTTTGGTTTGGTGTGTGTCTTTTATGTTATAGAGTGGATTAGATATATGTTATAGAGGAAAAGTATTATTAAGGTTCGATATCCTCTGTGTTAAACGGTGTAGTAACCACTCAATGCAGTAATCTTTAACAAAAAAAGACAAAAAAAAATAGTCTGATTTATCATTGGATATACGTAGTGTGTGGATGACAAGAACTTCCTTTAAAACAGGTAATGTATTCCCATTAATTTACCGGCCAAAGGATATCCGGTAGCTTATTGATATGTATATTTTCCCTATTTTTTTTTTTTTTTTATCAGCTTTCTAAACCCAGTTCAGGCTTTTCTTTACTCTTTGTTAAAGATTCGCTGCTTAAGAAAAAAAAAAAACAGGTCACTCTGAATGGATCGATTCGATACTCACTAAGATAAAGACAATACATTTTCATTTTGTGTAATTAAAACATAGAAAATAAAATCTATTGAATATGTAATAATCGACACGGTATATAAATACCTTGCACTGTATCATTCATCCCTAAACATGTCATTTCCACATTTTTCACAATATGTAAACGGCATGGATCAAAACTCACAGAACCTTTTATAAATACACTCTAAGCCACTGGTTTCATAACCTTTGTCTTTGAATCAGTGAGTACAGAAGACCAGCCACTTTGACCTTATCCACATTAACCCAAGCCTATCCTAACCCTTCCCCCCCTCTTTTCCACCCTTCACTAAAGGTCTAGACTGGCCCTAATGTATCTCTTTTTTTCAGCTGTGGAGACGAATGTGATGCATGTAACCTTATAAACGCCTATATAAACGTAGCACATAGACCCTTTAAAGCAGAACAGATCTGTGCTTGCCTGTCATCTAAAAATGATAATATATATATATATACAAAATCCATGTGTTATGAAGATAAAGTATAGCCCTCTCCCAACCCTCCCTCTCCCTTCCCCTCTCTCCCTGTTATTGTACATTCGCTGTTGATTCAGACATAGAAGAATTTGAAAAGTCCTGCTGTGGTGGCATCTTGTTTCTTCGAAGCTGACTGTCTATCTGTCTCTGTCTGTCTATCTCTCTTTTTATCTATCGGTCTGTCTTTATATGTCTATATGTCTGCATCTCCCTCACTTTCTCTCTCTTTCTTTGTTTATCTCTCTCTCTCTTTCTCTCTCTCTCTCTCTCTGTCTCTCTCTCTCTCTCTCTCTCCCTGTCTCTCTCTCTCTCTCTCTCTCTCTCTCTCTCTCTCTCTCTCTCTCTCTCTCTCTCTCTCTCTCTCTCTCTCTCTCTCTCTCTCTCTCTCTCTTTATATCTATCTATCTATCTGTCTGTCTATCTATCTATCTATCTATTTCTCTATCTGTCTGTCCATCTATCTATCTGTTTATCTTTTTATTTATCAACCCTCTATCTATTTAGACATTTATCTATTTCTTTTCTTTCACCTCTCTCTCTCTCTCTCTCTCTCTCTCTCTCTCTCTCTCTCTCTCTCTCTCTCTCTCTCTCTC